ATATGAGACATTTGTTACATGAATTTTGCCCCATTTCACAATCTTTTTTGCCACAGTTGTTAAATGAATCCCTGCAGTTGTTAAATTAGTAATACGGTTGTTTAAGTGAATCTGGCTACCCCATTGACTTTGCTTGTCAGAAGGTCGTAAAATGGGGATCCCATGATCCTGTTTAGGACACTGAGCTGTCATAAATGTGAGTCAGTTGTCAAGCAGGTGAATTTTCATCATGTGACTTTGGGGATGCTGCAACGATCATAGGTGTCAAAAACACTCAAGTTCCTTTTTTCAGTGCTGTTATAACTTTGAACTGTCATTAAACAAGGACTACCTGTAATGGGAAGAATGCATCTGATGCATTTGTAGTGTCTACAAAGGCACTGATATTGTTGAGAGATTGTTGAGTGTTAGTTGTAAAGTCATCAGGCTCTTCCAGATTTAGTTTCTTCCATAGTCATTTACTGGGCCTCCATTTTGACTCCCAACTCTTTGGATAAACCCGTCAACCCTTGAGGTCGATATTAAGCTTACTGTAGTCTATTGTACAAGTATGGCACGTGTTTCTGAAATGGATTCATACCCAACCATTTAAAGAATTTTGTCATATATATTTTTAATTTATCAACTCAGGTGGCAATTATGAAGGTATGGAAATAATAAAATCCCGTCTTCTCCCATGGTTGGGTACTTGCTTTTCGAGCCCACCTTTTGAAAGCAGCCTGGACACATGTTCTTCCGTATTACAGGTAATTATTATTATTTTTTTTAAAAAATTCCTAATATAAAAATTAAACCAAACGTTTGCATGGTTTGGATTCAGAAATTGTATCTTTTATCATCAGTCTTTTAAAATTTGCTTGGGTGTTCAGACTTCACATATAGAATTTGAAACTGATTGCAAAAAACACACGTTTATCTCTGGAGAAATCCTTGCTGAAAATACAATTTTAGAATGGATCTTCAGTCTATCAAAGATTCTGTATTGCAAAATCATTTTGCTTGGTCAGTGAACACTTTACACAAAGTTCTAGAAGTATGTGTTATTCTAATCTATACATGGCTGTTTTATGGAAGAGTTCCCTATTTGGTGGTTTCATATTTATATATTTCTGTTGAATATCTTAATTGGAAAAGCAATGTTGCGAAAATTAATTTGACAAGGCTAAGCAAAGTGTAAGAAGAATAATTTCAAATGACAGAGGATCTTACTTAGATCAGGGCTGGGGATCAAAGGCCCTTTTATGACTTGTGGGCCAAATTCCAGAGCCAGCCAATTCTAGGAATTGAAGTCCATAAGTCATAAAAGGACCATGGTTCCTTACTCATAACTTAGATGAATGTAGCAGGGTGGAGTAATCTAAAAAATTTAAATCATGACCACTGGAGCAAAGTTTAACTGAGATATTTTGTTAGTCATCCATATAAATTTACTCAAATGGGTCAGTTTTAATAAACTGCTCCAGTGGCCATGATTTAATCTTTATAAATATTTTTAGTCTGGATGGTTGAGTCTTCATTTACACCTGGCTGAGTATGTAGTGTGAAACCTCTTCCAGAAGAGAGGTAGAACATCCTAGTCTCCGAGTTCTCGTCAGTGGCCATATTGGCTGTGGAATTCTGGGATTTGAAGTCCACCTTCCTGGAAGTTGCCAGACCTAGGAAACCCTGGTGGAAAGGCTTGGAAGTTACGTGTGACATTAGCATTATTCCAAGGGTTCTCCTCCACTCCAAGTGTGTAAGACAGAAGCAGCCCCCATAACTTGGTTGCTTTTCTGGCACATTTCCCTTTCCTAATAGGTGTGCAAGGGGCGTGCATAAGTGCACAATTGTGCCTACCATCCCTGTCCTATTGTCCCAAATTATTCTATATCCTGTTTTTATACTTTATATATACTTATATTCATTACCTTGTAAGCTATTGATAAATAAATAAAATAAAACATTAAAAAAGGGTTTGCCCCAAGCTGTGAGTGGGTGAAGATGATGCCATGCATGCTATTATGTCATTATGTCAGGGGTTGCCATGCCTGGATGAAAAACTAATGGTGGTGATTGTGTTGCACCCTCCCAACATATGTATTTTTGCTTGGCCTTCCTTAAAATTAAAAAATAAAATAAAATTAATAAAATTAATTAAGATATCTGTATAACTTCTCACAATGTTTCTGGGATATGTTCAAATGCCCTTTCATTTATAATTTTTAGACTATGTATATCTGCTTGTAGGAATCCCTTGAGAAAGACAGACTGCTGAGGGAATTAAGCAGCGTTCGGAACTTTGAAGTTGAACAGCTGGAAAAAGAGCTGAATGCCACACGGTTACAGCTGAGTTTGGTGCAACAAGAGTAGGGGGAAAAAAACTTCTCTTTTTTTTTTGTCCTTCTATAAGTTGAAAATATTGAATCCTGTTGTATACAAATAACTTTGCAGCATTTACAAGCAGAGGCCTTCCAGGTATGATGGAACACAGCAGCCAGGATTTTTAATCCAGTGTGTGTGGCTAGTACCTGGGAATTCTGGTGCTTTTAATTATTTTTTTAATCCTGCCTGTGTTGTTATTGAAATAACTCAAGAGGGCAAACATGCAGGTGGTCTTTGACTTACAACCATCCATTTAGCCACCAAAGATACAAACGGCTCTGAAAAAAAGTTAGTTTCAACCGGTCTTCAAACTTAGGACCATTGCAGCACCTCCAAAGTCACCTGATCAAAATTTGGGTGCTTGGCAGCTGGCATATATTTATGATGGTTGTAGCATTACAGAGTTATGGGATTGCCATTTGTGACCTTAGATGTTTTGCAAAGTCAATGGGGAAAGCCGGGTTTGTTTAATGTCTGGTTGGATCGCTTAACAACCACAACTATTCTCTTAACAACCATGGCATAAAATCCAGCATGATTCTCTTAACAACCTTACTTTGTAACAAATTCTGCTCCAGTTATGGTTGTATATCAAGGATTACCTGTATTTAATACTCCTCCTTCCTTCTCCTTTCCCCACAACAATAACCCTGTGAGATGAGATGGATTCAAAGAGAATGACTGGCCCAAAGTCACTCAACTGGATTTCAGACCTAAGGCAGAACCTGAATTCACAGTTACCTGATTTCTAGTTCAGCACCTTAACCACTACATAAAACTACTACTATTACTACTATTTTTTCTTCTTCTTCTTCTTCTTCTTCTTCTTCTTCTTCTTCTTCTTCTTCTTCTTCTTCTTCTTCTTCTTCTTCTTCTTCTTCTTCTTCTTCTTCT